AAGCAAAGAAATTAAAAAGGTGCCCCAAAGGAACAAACTTTTCCTTTTTTTGGGTTGGGGCCCGAATTGGAACAAACAAAAAAAAAACTTTTCCTTTTTTTGGGTTGGGTTAGAATTGGGCCAGCCAAAGAAAAAACGGTTCCTTAATTTGAATTTGGTTAGGATTTTAAAAAAGAGAAACCATTTGTACCGGTTTTTATTTTTAAATTGGGAGAGAGAGAAAAAGGGTGTCCTTTATTTTGGTTGGGCCAGAATTGGGACAAAGAAAAAAATTTGTCCGGGCTTTATTTTTGGTTGGACCAAAAAAAAAGGGTGAGCTTGATTTTAGTTTCCACCAGGATTGGGAGGAAAACCAAATGTGCCGAATATTTTTTTCGCCAGAATTCGAAAGGGGGGGGGGGTGGGGGGGGGAGGCGTACTCATTTGTTGCTTGCCGTAGTCATTTGACCATTGACCACGCGTCCCTTTCGAGACGGAGCACCGTTCCTACACCTACTAGAGACACCACCAACATTTGGGAGCTCTTTACGTTTCTGCCACAAACTCCATAAAAATTTCTTGCACATCTTATCCCCGTCCTCCAGGGCCTCTTGTGCCCACCATCTATCCCCAATTATCGCGATCGTTTTTTCGCTGTTGTCTAATTTACCAAAGTTGTCCATGTCACACCCTCTCTGTCTCATTTCCTCCTCGAGATCCTCTCTTTCCTTCCTGTACAACTCACACTCCCCAACTATGTGGGGTCTACTCTCCTCCGATTTGCCACATGGACATGTGTGTCTATCCTCCTCTTCCTCTCTCCTACGGCTGGTATACCTCTTCCTCCGTTCTGGCAAGTCCAGATCGCCTACTCGAAATTGCAATTTCAGCTTTTTCGCATAATCCATGGGGCCGTCCAAGTACTTCTTCATCCCTTTCCCTTCTTTCAACTTCCCGTATATCTCCAAGTGGTCTTCGCTTCGTACCTTCTTCCGAAGGGTTGCCTCCTCCCTACTCTCTAGCATCTCCTTGACTTTCGTCTTGAACCCCCCGAACTCTTCCGTGTCCAACGTCTCCTCCTCGTCTCCTATCTCCTTCCAAACCTTCTCTACCACCTTGTCCCATCTGATTCCCTTCTTCCCTGGAGTCGCTTTTCCCCAAGCTGCCTCGTCAACCATGGCTGGTAGTCTATCGTCCGACATTCTACTTACCTTGTACTGCCAATTCAACTTCTGCATGTCTCTCTTTGTTTTAAGAGAGTACATTCCCAATTCTGCTCTCAATACAGTGTTGCTCGTTGTACTTGAACATCCTAATATTTTCTTGGCCGCTGCCATCTGCACCGTTTCCAGCTGCTTGACGGCCTTTTCGTTACCTTCCCATATCTCTCCTGCATACTCTAGCTTAGGTACAATCACATTCAAGAGAATACACCTCTTAATCCTAGTGTCTAGGTGTGGGTCCGTAAGGGGGGGGGTACTCATAGTCGTGCATGCCGTAGTCGTTAGACCATTGACCTCGCATCGCATCCCTACAAAGCCGGGACGGAGCACGCCGGGTTCTCACCGGACCAGGCTCTCACATCACCAAGCGCGAAGCGCCGTGAGGTATTCGGCGAGTCGCATGAAGGGTGCGCTGCATCCTGCTAGAGGTGTTCGGCATCTTGTGCTTGCTTCCTTGCGTGCGGATGACAGCTGCGTATGACTTAATTTATTTTCTGGTGCTTTCACTGCCAGAGACAGTTGTAAGCACTGTGTAACTGCCTCGAGGGTGCCTGACCAATTTAACACAACGTGGTGCGATCATCCCCTTTGCGCGGAGTGAGGGTTCTCGACCCCGCACAACATGATCTACTCGACCACCATTATGGTTACCGCAAGAAAACAAAACAAAGGCAAAAAATAAACGGTAACCTGGTTGCCGAGCTCACGAAGTGATTGTCTTGTTTTACAACATCGCTGCCAAGCGACGAAACCCAACCCCGATGGCAAACACCGGGGGGGGCATGAGTCGGAGGGAGAGAGAAAGCGTGTAGTTGGGCTTGGGCACGAAAAATACCGGATTTGTCTTGTGCACGAGTCAGAGAGAGAAAACGTGTACCTTGCTTTGACCCGTTGTAGACGATAGTTGAGTCGTCGCAGAAGAGGCTCTATCGTGCTTGTTGCTGTTGTTCGTGGTGGTGGTGGTGATACCGTTGTGGTTGTTGCTGTTGTTTCTCTCTGTACATGCCTTGGTTGGTGTTGCGTATGTTTTATAGACCGATGGTTTGGATATACCTCCGTTTTGGATTGAATTGAGTTGCTGTTGCACGTGTCATGGGAAGTGACCGATCCACCCCTCACAAAGGTGCACAGCAGTTTTGCCATTGTTGCACAAGGAGGCTAAGCAGGCACGTCACCTTGCAGACGAGAAACCGGTGCCCGGGGATTGATCGGTGGAATTGTCGTGTCGATTTCCTTGCCTGTGGCCGGTGGACGGGTGGCTTTACAGGAAAGTCAGACAAGAGGTACTTTGCGGAAACGTGAGAGTCAAACACACGGCAACACCAGCAAAACCACTTGTACAAGAATCGGAACGATATTTCGTGTGCCGTCTCAATGCCTCCCCCCCCCCCCCCAAATGTGTTCCAAACCACAACCTTTCCGGGGGGAATTTTCCCGGGACAAAGAGCTGC